CGTCTCCACAGTAGATAGATAGATAGATAGATAGATAGATAACCCAGGCATGGTAATTCCAGCTGCTTGGAAGGCTGAGGCAGAAGGATCAACTGAGCCCAGCAGGTTGAGACTGCAGTGGCTGTGAGCATGCTACTGCACTCCAGCCTGGGTGACAGAGTGAGACTTCAACTCAAAAAAAGAAACAAAGATAGAAATTAGGATAACTAGCTTAAGGTCACTTTAGCCTTGGTGTGAGTCATGACTACAGGAATGAAGACAGGAAAATGAATAAAAAGGTTGCGCTGGGTGCGGTGGCTCATACCTGTAATCTCAGCACTTTGGGAGGCTGAGGCTAGAGGATTGCTTGAGTCCAGAGGTTCAAGACCAACCTGGGCAACTTGATGAGACCTCAACTCTACAATAAATCAAAAAATTAGCCAGGCTTGGTGGTGTGTGCCTGTATTTTCAGCTACTTGGAAGGCTGAGGTGGAAGAATCACCTGAGCCCAGCAGGGCACTCCAACCTGAGCAACAGAGTGAGACTCTGACTCACAAAAGGGCGGAGCAATGAATCCTAAACAGGATGGTAAAATTTGGCAGAGAAGGGAGGTGGGTACCTTGACTGTGAGATGTTAAAAAAAAGAAGTAAGATGACTGGTAATAGAATGTTGATTTATCCAGTCATTCATTTTATCTAGACATGAGCAACAATTAACATCTATATACTAAACACTCTGCATCCTTGGAGGCTCAAGATAATACAAGGCCTCTCATCCCAAAGAGTTCACTGTCTAGTGAAGTGACAGGCACTTAAAAAAAAAATTGTACTCCTGCCTGGGGAGGTTCCTCAAGTCTTATAACTGGATTCAAATATGTGGTAAAGAAAAGAGAATTGCCATTTTTGACATCTTACTATGTTCCAAGGCCTTTGCTAGGCCTTTTACACATTTAAAGCATTTACTTTTTTAATCTTAGGATATAGAGAATTATGTATTATGAGATTACACAGCTAAGAGGTAATACAGTTTGGACTGTGTGTGTGTGTGTGTGTTGGAGTCTCACTCTGTCACCCAGACTGGAGTGTAGTGGCACGCTCTCGGCCATCGCAGACTCGACCTGCAGGGCTCCAGCAATCCTTCTGCCTCAGTCTTCCAAGTAGCCGGAACAACAGCCGTGTACTACCACACCTGGCTAATTTTTGATTTATTGTAGAAATGAGGTCTCGCCAAGTGCCCAGGCGGGTCTCGAACCCGCGGGCTCAGTCCACTCATCTCAGCCTCCCAAAGCACGGGATTATAGGCTGAGCCACTAAGCCCGGTGAGTTTGGACTTTGGACTTTTAATCCAGGTCTGTCTGACTTCAAAACTAGAGTTCTTTCTACTGCTTAGGAGTCTTTTTTTTACTGCTCCAGAATGCCTACCATTTTGAAGGATGAAGAGTAGAGAAGAAGTTGAGAATTTAGGCTTTTGGTCAAATTTGACTAAGTTGGAATCTTTGTGCCACTCTTTGAGAACTGTGATCTTGAACAAGTTATTTAATTTTGCTGAACTTTTCTCAAAAATAAATTGGAGCAAGTAGTTGGAATATAGTTTCTGGAACATCCTAATTACTCAAGAAATGGGTATTTTAAGAGAGTAATACTATAGTTTGTTAAAGGGTAAGTAGTGGGGCATTCTAGGCAGAGGGAACCTATTGCTAGCAAAAAATAAGAGGCAGAATATATCATGTCTGGGATAAATGCAGGTGGTTCAATATGACTGATAGGCATATGGGAAGTTGTGGGGAAATAAGACATCATAGAAGCATTTATAAAAAGCCCTTGAGAGAAGTTAGGGGTAGAAATACAATTTTATATATTATCTACATAATTCTAACAGTTATAAGTAACTAGTTTTTCTCATGAAGTTCACCTGTGAACTGATAACAGCAGAAGAGTTCTGGTAAAGCTAGAATACTGTGAAATGCCTGTATTCATCGGAAAGACTAAAAGGAATTCAGGAGGTAAGAAGAGAGCCTAGAGAGTAAAGCATCAGGAAACCAAGAGGGGAAAAGGGACGGGTTCCGAAGAGATCAATAATGAGCAATGTCTCATTCCCCAAAGAAGATGGATATGAGGATGGAAGTTTTGGTTATTTACAAAAGAATTGTTTCACTAACGTGGCTTAAGCACTAGTGAGCAAGTAAAAGACAGTTGGTACTGACTTACTCAGAAAAACTATGCAATAAGGTATGGTGGTATATAAGACTGAGGAAAAAGAAGTCAGTTTTCCACTAGCTACAATAAGGTGATTTAGCATGTTTGATAAATCCACAGAGGAAAGAGAACAAACAGATGTAGAATGCTAGAAAAGGAGGAGGATGTTCTTTACAACATCAGGTGCAAGGGAGCGAGAGTTGGTGAAAGTTTGAGTCCAGTGATTTCAGAATTCTCAGTAGGAAAAGACAATCATTTTAAGTAGAGTTGAGGTTGATTCAGAATTTAGAGGAAAAGGAGAAGATGTTTTTATTTTATTGTAATTTTTAGAGAAGACTTTTTTTTTTTTTTTTTTGAGTCTCACTCTTTCGCCCAGACTGGAGTGCAGTGGCCGCTCCTGGCCACCGCAGCCTTCACCTGCTGGGCTCTGGCGATCCTTCCGCCTCAGCCTTCCAAGTAGCCAGAATTACAGGCATGCGCTACCACGCCCAGCTGATTTTTTGATTTATTGTAGAGATGAGGTCTCGCCTGCCCAGGCGGGTCTCGAACCCGCGGGCTCAGGCAATCCACTCACCTCAGCCTCCCAAAGGCACGGGATTACAGGCTGAGCCACCGAGCATGGCTAGTTTAGTTTTGTTTTTAAAAAGCATCATGTGATGAGGTGATGGATTCTGTCTAAAGGAGGACTGGCAATTACAAGAAAAATGTATCTTTCTGTGGCTGACTTGGTAAAGTAAGACAAAAAGGGTCACTAGCCTTCATCTGTGATCCATCAAGCATTTTCCCTCAGGTGTCCAAATGGCTGAGGCAGACTGATGTAGGAAGGGGGTGGGCATATTCTTAGTAGCTAAGAAGGGGCAACTTTCACTTTTAAATGCAATTTTATTATTATTCTTTTAGAGACAGATCTTACTCTGTCACCCAGGTTAGAATACATTAATGCGCTCATGGCTCAATGAAGTCTACAACTCCTGGACTCAAGAGGTCCTTCGGCGTCAGTTTCCCAAGTATTTAGGACTATAGGCACCTGCCACCACCACACTCGGGTAATTTTTTTATTTTTAATTGGAGTCTCACTCTGTCACTCAGGCTGGAGTGCAGTGGCATGCTCACAGCCACTGCAGCCTCGACCTGCTGGGCTCAGGCAATCCCTTTTTTTTTTTTATTTTTTGAGTCGGAGTCTCACTCCGTCGCCCAGACTGGAGTGCAGTGGCCGCTCCCGG